TTTCCGAGGCAGTATCACTACAGAAGTAGGATTGCCCAACCTTCCTTCCGAGGAGTGGCTGGTGGGTTTGAACCGCCAGCCGTCTGATTAGCAGTCAATTGCTTTAGCCACTATGCTACCAGAGCTCCTTAGTAATACTGCCTCGGCAACCCAAGGAGAGGTCCTATGAGTCGGATCCGACTCCAGGGCAGTGGTTTTGTTGCGTTGCATTACTATAGTTCTAGTCCTGGTTACAGGGGATTGCTTGTTTCATCTCTTAGCCTGAACATCTGTTAACTTATGTAATGTGATTTTCTAAATAAACTATTTCAAGAACTTGGTGCAAAATCTTTCTGCTCTAGGAATTTAAACAATGAAATTACTAGCTGTAATTTTGACATTGTCAATCTCATAATCAATCAATAATACTGTAACATCTGAAGATAGCAATAAAAATGCCCTGACATTTAGAATTAGAGGAATTGGAAGTTGTTCTTTCAGCTCACTTTTCACCCTTTATAGTTTTATAGTATTTCAAACTTAAGTGGTTAAATAATTCGGTTTAAAAAAAAAAAAAAAGGGAAGAAGACACCTAGTCATTTTCTCGTTCTATGCCAGTTCTTACTGTGTGATCATGGACTTGGGAAAACTGTGGTTGGCCTCAAGGTAGGGTTGCCAGATTTAGCAAATAATGTAATATGGGATGCTCCGCTAAATTCTAACATCAAATAAACAATGAATACCTGTTAAATATAATTATGTCCTATGCAACAGTTTTACCCACCTATTATGAGCTACTCAAGTGTATCAGTTCTGTCAGCAAAGCCCACATCAGGAATTCTCAGACACAGACCCTTTTGTGGATCCTTTCCCCACAAAAATGCATAATTGTGCATAAATTACACATACAAATATTGCATGGGACATATTTACACTAAAAAAATTATTGTCATTTACCTGAACTGAATAGCCTATTTTATCTGGCAAACTTATCTCAAAAGACCTATGCCCTGAAATTGAATGCACATGTTCTAGGACATTTTTGCTGAATCAAAACCTGGGTTTAGACCCTGTAAACTGGTAAGGTGTCAAATGTATGTATTGATCACTATATGTCCCTTAAATGCTGCTGCCAGAGTTAGACATCCAAAAATTTATATAGATGCACAGGGATGTCTGGGAGGAAAGGGCCTATTGATCCCTTTGTTGCTTTATGGTTAAAAATTATTTAAATGTCTGTGATGAGCTGGGAGGCCTGAAAGGACAAGGCTTGGAGAAGTCGGGACCAATGTCCTGGCATCTGTTCAAGGGCTAAGGGTCAAAGGGGAGCATTGGTTCTAGAACCAGAGGCAAGCTGCTGGCTTGGGACGTAAAGAACTGACTGAACAGAGAAACCAATGACAACTAGGCCATTTTTTCTGTGGACTTCCCTTAACTGAAAGAAGAAAAATCCTCCCTTGTACCCCAAGAAATCAATGGGGTTGGCAAAGCTGGGGTTTGAACTCAATATTATACTATACTGATGTTCATATTTTGGACTATAGCATAGAATAGTTCCCAAAGTTCCCATTGGTCAAGGCCAGATTAGAAAGGGGTTTATATGTGATGCTAATGGCTTTGAATTTTATCTTGAAGATAATAAAAAATCCTTACAGGATTATAAGCAGAAAATTGATCAGATTTATGTGTCAGAAATAAGACAGTAATAGATAATCTATTACCTGGAGAGCCAGAAGAAAGTATAGAATCATGCATTCCCAACTTAAGAAGAGTGGAGTATACAAAGGGACTGCTAAACTGCAATGGCAGCTTATACATTTTGGTGGACAAAGGTCCTTTGTGTCACACAGTTACCCTGATAGTCCACCACAGCCCCTTTAAGCCTTGACTTCTGGTAGCTACAAATTTAACAGGAGACTTTGTACCATACAGAGTAAAATGAGACATGAACTTGGTCCAGAAAGAATCCTGAGAGCCTATGATTCCCATTAAGACAATTTTTAAATGGCAATTTTTTTGACACTCCTTTTGCTGAGCCCCTATCAATGGAATGTAAGTATCTTCTTGAATCTGGGTGCATTGTGACTACTTTGACCACTGGAATACAGCAGAAGTGGACCCTATGTGACCTCTGAGACTAGGTCAGAAAAGGCCATGCAGAATCTACCTTGTTCTGTAGAATATTTAACTTTTAGAGCCCATAGTCACCATGTACAACAGCTACTCTGAGGCTACCATACTATAAGAAAACCCAAGCCACATTGAGACAGTCTATGTAACTATTCTGGTCTACATTTCCAGCTGAGTACAGTCTTTAAGTCATCTCAGCTCAAGTATCGGACATGTGAGTGGAGAAATCGATAGTGATTCCAAACCAAAAACATTTCAGTCACCACCACCACCACACCCTAACTATTCTAGTCTTCCCAGATGAGGGCCCAAGCATCATGGAGCTGGGACAACTCATCCCTACTGTATCCTATCTGTATTCTTGATATAGGAACATAATAAAATGGCTGTTGCTTTATATCACTGAGGTTTGTTATGAGACAATAGATAACTGGAACAGACCATTACTAGAACAGATGATTGCCATCCCCTAAAGTTCTCAGAAACCCATCATCTTAGACTATTAGTATATCTATTCCCTCAGGACTACATATTACTAAGCATGTGAATTCCTCCAAGAAAATGATAAAATTCATGGCCTGTGCTGGACAACTTACTTAAATGTCTGCTGATGTTTCAGCTGCACGAATTATAAGAGTGATATATGGACTGTCAAACCATGTTGTTGTTGTTAAGTGCCGTCGAGTCGTTTCCGACTCATAGCGACCCCATGCACAAAAGAACGAAACACTGCCCGATCCCGCGCCAGCCCCACAATCCCTGCTATACTTGAGCCCATCAACGCAGCCACCGTGTCAATCCATCTCGTTGAAGGCCTCCCCCTCTTTCGTCGACCCTCCACCCTACCAAGCATGACATCCTTCTCCAGGGAATGGTCCCTTCTTACAACATGACCAAAATAGGTGAGACGAAGTCTGGCCATTCTTGCTTCCAAGGAGCATTCTGGCTGCACTTCCTCCAGGACAGATCTGTTAGTTCTTTTAGCAGTCCATGGTACTTTCAGCATTCTCCGCCAGCACCACAACTCAAAAGCATCAACTCTTCTTCAGTCTTCCTTATTCATTGTCCAGCTCTCACACGCATACGAGGCGATTGGAAATATCATGGCTTGTGTCAGGCGCACCTTAGTCCTCAAGGAGATATCCTTGCTCCTCAGCACTTGAAACAGTTCCTTCACAGTTGACTTTCCCAATACTACACGTCATCTAATGTCCTGACTGCTGCTTCCATTGGCATCGATTGTAGAACCAAGCAACGTGAATTCTTTGACAACCTCAGTCTTCTCTCCATTTATTGTGATGCTGCTCATTGGTCCACTTGTGAGGATTTTTGTTTTCTTTATATTGAGATGTAATCCATACTGCAGACTGTATTCTTCAACCTTCATCAGTAGGTGCCTTAAGTCATCCTCACTTTCAGCAAGCAAAGTTGTATCGTCTGCATATCTCAGGTTGCTAATGATTCTTCCTCCAATCCTGATACCACGTTTTTCTTCATACAGTCCAGCTTCTCAGATTATTTGCTCAGCATATAGATTGAATGAGTGTGGAGAAAGGATACAACCCTGACGCACTCCCTTCTTGATTTTAAACCATGTAGTGTCCCCTTGTTCTGTTCGAACGACAGCCTCCTGGTCAAGGTACAGATT